GGGAATTCTGGGAGTTGAAGTCCACACATCTTAAAGTTCCCAAGGTTGAGAAACACTGCAGAGACATGAAGGACTCTGCAGTTATATGCAGAGGCACCCTGCACCCAACACAGTAAGCTTAAACCAAACCTGTACAACGGTGGAATGGCCTACATACAGAGGCTTTGGATTCTCCATCTCCAGAGGTTTTCAAGAAGAGCCTGGATGGCCACCTCTCAAGGATGGTTTAATTGCCTTTCCTGCATATTGCAGAGGGCTGGACTAGAAGATCTTTGTGGTGCCTTTCAGTACCACCATTCTATGGATTTGAACTGATTTTCTGACACACTGCAGAGGCCTGGACTAGATGATCCTCGGGATCCCTTTCCAATTCCACAGTTCAATGATTCGGAGTCTATGAAATCTTGAATAGCTGTTTCCTAGCTGTACCACTTGAGACAGCTTTCACGGAGAAGCCATATTACAGACTGACATGTTGTCTGAATGTATCCTCTATTATTGCACACTGATAATTACAGAACACAAGTGCCCCATAACTGTTTACACCTTCTTTATTGGGTAGCTTAATTGCTAGTTCCCTTTGGTGGCACCACAGGCCAACGACAGTGTGGGATCATGCTTAGGACAGCACCCCATTGGGTTAGCATCCAGTTGGGTCAAAACTTACCCCATCATGGACAAGAGCTTTCCACGTGTGCTCCAGTTTCTTGATTAACCTGGAGGGCACAGACAAGCAAAGGGTTGAGAAAGAGAGTGGGAGAATCAAATAAAAACAGGGCCAAACTCCAGTCTCCTCAGTGGGGGTGTACATGGTGCAAACCATTGGTGTGTGTTGCACATAAAAAATGGGCAGGGCTTCAACTGTACTGTGGTGGCCAGTATCTTCACTCTTTCGACCACACCCTGCACACCTCTGTTCTCCACCATCAAGAGAGTCAGTGAGAGAACGGTAAAATTCAGTGTTTCTCAACCTCGGCTGGCTGGGGAATTCTGGGAGCTGAAGTCCACACATCTTAAATTCGCTAAGTTTGAGAAACACTGGTAGTTGAATAAGGATTAGGGGAAGGTCCACAGACTACCATAGAGGAAATAGGGAAAGAAATACAGAGCTTGACCAAACTTAAAACAATGTCGGCATTTTGAGCAGAAAGCAGCTTTTATTAACCTATTAATAACTGGTTACTATATGACTAATGACCAACTTAAAGAATGGCCTGCAGGTTTGCAAACATGACTAATGAAAAGTCATGGCAGAACACACAGGAGCATATTCCTTTCCAGACCAGTGACTTTGTATCAAAGGTGTGCAGAGAATGGCTAAGAGAATGTGGGAAAGGAGACCCAGTGATCAAAACCCAAAGCGCTCATTCTGATGGATGACGGCATTACGGAATACTGTACAACGTTCCAGAGATCAGAAGAAAATAATTTGCCCCAAAGTCTCACTTCCAAACAGGGAGTAAAATGGTAATAATGCCCAGACTTGGATAGATTGGTACGTGCTGGGTAGAGTCCAACTCATTGTTCTGGGGAGTAGTGTAAAAGGAAAGAAAAAGCGCTAGTTCATTCAACATGCTCTCGAACATTGTACCTGATGGAAGAGAATGTGCTAAGACTGAGAAAGAAAAAGGAGTATCTCTAAACACAAACAACCAGCAGATGGGGATCTCATTAAAGCTTATCTAATAAACACACTGAGCCCGTCATGCCAGAAAATAGAGATTCAAAAGATTCAAAAAGATCCTACTTTAATGAAGCTATTAATAAAGAAAGGCTGGAGGGTTTCTATCTCAGTTCTTCAGATTCTGTACTCTAACCTCTAACTTTTGGCATTAAAACTCATTACACAAAGCCTGCATGGATCTTATGTCCTTGATTGTGCTCTGCGGTTACAGGGCTGGACACCTAGCATCTAACATCTTCCCATCAACTCTTATCCCAACAGGGGGGAGCTTAAGTAGCCATCAACTCTTCTGACAACCGCACTTGGGTTAAATTGCTTTATAAACCCTGTTACTTTAATCATTCATGAGTGGGAACAATTAAGTAGGAAATTCAGGATTTCACATGTGATTCTTTGTGCTTAATTTGGGTAACTTGTAACTGAAAAATTGCTAAGAAAACCAAAGTAGTTATTATATGGAGTTGTGTCTTGCTGGTATGAGTGATACATGAGTAAGAGCTGGAGAAGCTGGGAATCACAGTCCTTTTAATGGTGAATAAACTAGAGATATCCATAAGCTCCAGATGTTAGGATTCAGGATGGATTGAACATAATTAGCTGGGTCGGGATGGTCAAAGCAGCCAGAGGTTTTACTACAGTTCCACTCAGTTATCAGCGATGGCTTGCCCACCTTGGTTCTGTAATGTGACAATCCAACAGGAGGAGGAGTCCTGTGGCCATCTCCCCAGTGATCAATGACGTTCACCCAAACATCCCAGGAGTGGGAAGAATACGAATGGATAAAGATGGGTGAGTGAAATCAAATAATTCTGTTCCATTTGTCATTCTGAATTGATCTTTTATGCTAACCCTCTCCAGTACCAACCTACTCCACCCTGAGCACAAGAAGCTAGTAAGGCTGAGTGACTTTGGGCCAGTCCCTCTCTCTCAGCCCAACTCACCTCACAGGGTTGTGGTGGTGGGGAAAAGAGGAAGAGGAAGGAGTATGAGGTATGTTTGCTGCCTTGAGTTATTTATAAAAATAAGAAAGGTGGGATAAAAAAAAATCTACATCTAAGATACATTCCTAGTAGCTCCAGTTAGAACACAAACACTTCCTCATCTACCCGAGTGAGAAAGCAGTGTCATCCATTGTGAATAGCTCTAGACAGTTTGCGCTGGAGCTGAGGGGTGTACGAAAGAGCAGGTGTAATAATTACTGAGCCTGTCCTATTGACTCTGAGGTTGGTGGGCTCACTGGAGACACCTAATACAGACCAAGAGGTCACCAGTCCAACAAGGAACTGCAGCGTCATACCTACGGCCCTCCTGGATACCAGCAACATCCCTACATGGCACCCCGTGGATCCCCCAAACAAACCAATCAATAGAATCATTATGAAAATAAATATTTCAAATCAATGAATTATTACCAACAGAAGCGAATATATGTAGCTCAGGGTTGAACCGTGGAGCCCTTGGGGTTCTCTGAGCTTGGTTGTTTTCGTGCAAATGTTTTGTTACCCAGCTAGGGAACATCCATTCTAGCACTGAAGATGTTACCTAGCCGGGTAACGAAACGTTTGCAAGAAAACAACCAAGCTCAGAGAACCCCAAGGGCTCCACAATGAATTATTAAAATAAAAAGGCCCAAAACTCAGAAGGTTGCCACATCTCATAAGACTTCAGAGAAGAATGTCCTGCACTATCAAAGCGGCACAGGATAGCTCGTACCTGTAGGATTGGAGGATGTCAATGATACCGACGTGCAGCAGCAGACGCTCTCCTTTGCCATTCACAGCTGGAATACCCCCCATTCTGAAAGGACAGAGGAGAGAAAGTCAGTATCTACTGGCTTAGTTAAAGTAGCTGATGCAAGGCCCAGCTGCCCCTGTACACTCCCCGAAACACCATGGGTTTCCAAAGTATGCTTCAAATGGTCTCACAGCTGTGTGAATTGTCTCAAGATGCATATGCTGCACCTCTGTACATGTGCGCGCACACTCTTACTTTCTCTTTCTCACTCTCTCACGTATGATCAAATATAATTAAATCAAGGAGAATAGTTGTCACAAAATCTACACAGACTGGTCAATCCTTGTAACAATGTAGGGGTGTGTTTTTTGGGTGCATGTGGGACATGCGTACACTTCTTCTAAACATCTGTATCAATAAATAAGGATAGGAAAACATTTATAATCAGTTCTGCATCATTTTTTTTGCATCATGATACAATAGAGTATCATCAAGTTCAGCAGAAGTCTTAGCTTTGAGTGCTATTGTTGAGTGGAAGGGGAACAGTGAGATTGGCCTAATCCTTTCATCCCAGCTTGTGCATTTTCCAGGGTCATCTTTGTTGGCGATGGTGGAAAAGTTGTTTATTTAAATACTTTATATGCTGCCCATCTCACAACAGCATGAAAACCAACAATTACAAAACAGAATGCAGCCCATCCTAATAGAACTGTTCACGCATGCTTTTATCATCTTAGCAATTTCATAGTGAGTTTAATGGGATTTTGTGAGATGGGCAGCATATAAAGTATTTAAATAAACAACTTTTCCACCATCGCCAACTAAGATGACCCTGGAAAATTCACAAGCTGGGATGAAAGGATTAGGCCAATCTCACTGTTCACCTTCCACTCAACAATAGCACTCAAAGCTAAGATTTCTGCTGAACTTGATGATACCCTATTGCGTTCTATTGAATTTGGCTAACCTTTTAAAGTCACTGAAGCCTACATCTAGCACATTTTGTGGCAGTGAGTTCCACAGGCACTCCCGCGTCCTGTAAATTTTTTTTCAGAAATGTGGTATATCTGTATGCAAAATGTATTACTGTTTATTCAGTACATGTAGGTTTTTACACAGTATAGGAGAGACCAGCCTGACTTCTAGGAACGGACATTTAGAAGTAAACCACTCAACCAACAGAGGAAGAGGAGAAACAGAGACAGAGAATACCACTTCAGTTACACAACTGTTTCTTTACACAGAATCAAAGCTTTACAATAAGGAAAAACATGCATATATAACTCATCGGTAACTAAATGTCTGCTAATGTAATGACTTTCATTTCTAGGCACAGATAAATTCCTTGGCTTTCTATCTGCACCTCTTCAGCTAGAGTGGAGAGATGGACAGTAGTGTGTTGATGGATTACAACTCCCATCATTTCCAGCCATTGCAGTCTCTGGGGAGGAAGATCACACTATGCACCATGAATTGGAATCCCACTCATTTACTGAGGGCATAATAGGGTTAGGCCAATTCTTTACAGAGACAAATTTAGCTGCGATTGGAAAGGCAAGCAACACCTAAAACTGTCAATGCAAAGAATTGGCTGAATCACTGCAAAGAATTAAATGCTGATGAGCATTCAACACAATGCCCTTTCCTGCTCCATTTAGGGCAATGAGAGCTGGCACTTTTCCAGTGACTTCAGCTGTTCAGAACTGCTTTCTCCAATATTGCCCACATTCTGTAATCGCTCTCTAGCATTTGGGATTGGACACAGTCCTCTCTCTACAGGCACCCCGAGAAAGCTTGGAGATCAAGAGGAAGAGAAGAAGAGAAGTCAAGGAAGGGCACTTAACACAATAATCCCAAAAAAGAGATTCAGCTTCCAGGGCTTGTGAGCATAGCTAAAGACTTCTCCCCTCTTCCCCCTAGAAATTGGAAAAAGCATAAAGAGATTATAAAGGTGTTAGTCCTCTATCACTGCTACACATTCACACATTCCTCTGTCTCCAGGGCAGCCTGAAGTTATGTTACTGGAACTAATTTCCTTTGGATAAAAGACAATGCAGGTAGTCCCTGGTTAACGACTCTAAATGGGACCGAAATCAAAATTTTATTAGGCGAAACATCACATGACTGCACCGCTTAGCGACAGCAGTTCTTGTAGTCCAGTGGGTTGGTTCCAAACAATACTCCCTCATATATTAATGTTAATGTTTTTTATATAACC